AGACCTGTGGGTTGGAATCGGGGTCAGAGTCCGAGTGGGCGTAGACATCAAGGAATAGGCGTGTAGTAGTGTGTACCAATCAGATATTTCTACTAATTCCTTTTGTACATAATACAGTATCTGCGGTCCCCAATAATGGAATGATTGTCCTTCAGCTCGCTTCCCCTCCCAGATTTTGCTGAACGACCATCTCGCAATGCGCGATGGCAATGCAGAAAATTAAAAAATGAATCGTTCGCCCCGCCTCCCAATGCTTAGTGTCCCGCTTCAGAATCCCCCAAATCCTGGCTCACAACCAGCTGGTAGTACAACCCCTGTTTCGCAATCAGGCTTTGGTGCGTGCCGTGTTCTGCAACAACGCCGTCCTTGAACACGTAAATCACGTCTGCGCCCTTGATGGACGAAAGTCGATGCGCAATGGCAATGGTCGTACGGCCCTTGGCAGCGACGTCAAGCGCCTCCTGTACCACTTTCTCACTCGTGCTGTCTAATGCCGAAGTCGCCTCGTCTAGCAGAAGGATCTTGGGGTTGCGGATGAGGGCGCGTGCAATCGCAATGCGCTGCTTTTGCCCGCCCGACAACTGCGTGCCCTTGCCTCCCAAAGACGTGTTGTATCCCGGCGGCAGCGTTGATCCCGCCGGCGATGGTTCGCCAGGCAAGCTCAGGATAAAGTCGTGGATGTTGGCGTCCTTGGCCGCCTTCTGGATGCGCTCGTCAACGTCTGGCGCTTCGCGTTCCTCGGGCGTCAACCCAAACGTAATGTTTTCCTTGATCGTGAGGTTGTACAGGTTGGGCTCTTGTCCGACGAGCGACACCATGTTGCGGAGCGACGGCAGCGCGAGGTCCGAGATCTTGGTTCCATCAATCGTGATGCTGCCGCCGGTGGTGTCGTAGAAGCGCTCCATGAGGCCGATAGCGGTACTCTTGCCACATCCACTAGGGCCAACGAATGCAACAAACTGCCCTGGCTCGACGGTGATGTTGACGCCCTTGAGGACCTTGACGGACGCGCGGGTCGGGTAGTGGAACCGCACGTCCTTAAACTCGACACGGCCCTGGATGGCGTTCTTGTCGGGTTTGATGCCGTCCTTACTCCAGCTGTCAATCGGCGGCACAAGGTCAAACAGGCCAAGCACGGCGTCAGCAGAGTCCTTGGCTTTGCCAACGTCCGGCATGAGCGAAAAGACACGCCCTGCGGCCTGCGCGGCAAAGACAATCGCCATGAACGCAGTGAAGAATGTACGAATTCCCGTCGCGCCGCCGTATGTTCCGTTGACGATGAGCGAGCCGCCGTACCAGAATCCAAGCGCGTTCATCAAGAAGGTGATCGTTTGCGAAAACGCGTAGATTGCCGTGTTGCCGATCGCATTCTTGTGGCCAATCTCCAGTGGCGTCTCGAGATCGCGGTGGTACTGGTCGACGACATACTTTTCCATTCCGAGTGCCGCGACCGTGCGCATCGCACCTACCGCCTCGCAGGCGACCTGCGCCGACGACTCGTAGTAGATCTTTGTCGCTTGGTTGCCCTTCCGAATTAGGTCCATTCGCCACTTGTTGGCCGCAATCATCAGCGGCAAAACCGCCAAGACAACCAAACCGAGCTTCCAGCCGGTGATAACGGCGACGAGCGCGCCGCCCGCGACGCTAGCAAAGAGTTCCAACAGGTTGCCGGCAATCTGGCCCGACATGTTTTGCACGTTTTGAGCGTCGTTGGACAAGTTGGTAGTCAACACACCAACTGAGTGCTTTTCCTCATCGAACCAGCCGATATTCTGTCGGCACATGGCGCGGAAGCTGCGGTCACGCAGACGGGTCGTGAGGCGCTCGCCCGAGATTCCAAACATGGCAAACTTGACAAACGAGGCAAACAGGTTGGCGATACCGAGAACAAGGAACCACATGGCCCAGCGGTCGGCCTCCTTGCGCATTTCTTGGGGATCCGTAATTGTGAATGTCTGAATGATGCGGCCAAACAGGATTGCAAACACGGGCTGAGTGGCGCCGTTCACGAGCGCTCCGACGAAAGCGATGAGCATGTAGTGAGCTTCGGGGCGGTTGTAACGGATCAGCTTGCCAAACACGCGGAATGAGTCAAAGAACGACGAAACAGTGCCGACTTTGCTTGCGGCGGCGGCAGCGGCGACTGCGGCCGCCGGGTCGGTAGACATGCGGCGCGAGCTCGTGCGCGAGTATGTCGAGTTTGTGCGTTTAAGCGCCGCAGCCTGAATGTCGGCCGCTTCTGCTGCAGCGAGGTCGATTTCAATCGCGTCCGGGTCGACTTTCGGCGTTTTTTCTGACGACTCCTGCTCCTTTTTGGCTGAAACCTGCTGGGCTTCGACGAGTTTACGGTAAAAGCCGCCTTCTTTTTCCAAAAGCGTGTGGTGGTTGCCCACTTCGACAATCCGACCTTGATCCATCACGACGATTTGAGTAGCATTACGAATGGTGGACAAACGGTGGGCAATGACGATGGTGGTGCGGCCCTCGGTCGCCCGGTCGAGAGCTTGCTGAACGAGCTTTTCGCTCTCCGAATCTAGCGCCGACGTTGCTAATTCATAAGGGTTAGTATAAAGGACCGAGCAAGACCGGACCAAATTAGAAGTACCTTCGTCGAGAAGCAGGATTGGCGGGTTCTTGACAATGGCACGGGCAATGGCAATGCGCTGCTTTTGACCGCCGGAGAGCAGCAAGCCGCGCTCGCCAATCCGCGTCTCGTAACCCTGGGGCAACGCCGAGATAAACGTATGGGCGTTGGCAAACTTGCAAGCTTCTACGATGAGCGCCATCTTTTTCTCCTTGTCAAGTGACTCCTCAGGCGATCCGAGGAGGCCGTGCGCGACGTTTTCCCACAGCGTGCCCTTGAACAAGATCGGCTCCTGGGTGACGTAGCCCATCTGCTGGCGCAGCCACTTGACATTGAGCGTGTCGATGTTGTTACCGTCCAGTGTGATAGTGCCCGCCTCGGGCGAGTAGAAGCGCTCGAGCAGTTGAATGATGGTTGACTTGCCCGATCCAGAAGACCCGACAAGCGCGCAGGTCGTGCCCGGCGCAATGTTGACGTCCATTCCATGCAGGACAACAACTTCGGGGCGCGACGGGTACCGGAACTTGACGTCCTTGACCACAATGTGGCCGCTGACGGACGGAGGACGCAGGCCGCTCTCGTCAGCGCTGTCAATTTCGGGAACACGGTCGATCGCTTCAAAGAGGTTGGATCCGGCACCGATAGCAAACGAGAAGGCCTGGACCTCGGACGATGTTCCGGCCAGGGCAAACGCGCCAATGAGGACCGAGAAAAAGCACGTCATGATGTCACCCGACAGAATCTCGTGGTCGACAAAGAGCTTGGAGCCGAACCAGAAAGCCAGAGCGTAAGTACCTGCGTTAAGAGAATTTGGGTTAGAAGCTGGCCACGGAGCGTGAATGCGTTGGGAACACGCAGTCACGTACCGAAAATGACAAACTGGATGCCTCCCCAGCCGAGACCGGTGGCAATCTGTTTCTTAACGCCAATGATCTCGGACCTGTCGAGGTACTTGCTGTACGCAAGCGCCATCTTGTCGGCGCCCATAAAGCTTTGCAGCGTGCGGATCGACGCAAAGGTCTCTTCGGCGACATCGCCCGCGGCGGCATACGACGCAAGACCTTCGCGGGTGTACTTGCCGACAAATTTGCCCATGAAGGCAGCCGTCATGGCAATAGCGGGCACGCAGCAGCTGAGAACAAGGGTGAGCTTCCAGCTGTGCGAAAAGGCAACAGCGAAACCGGCAATGAATGTCGCAAAGTTCTACAAAAAGCGCACGAGAAGAATTAGCACAAACCCTTCGTAGGTGCCCCGTCGTTGCCTCACATTGTCCTTACCATAAAAAACATCGGGACTTTTTCTGAAATGCCGTCCTGCACCATCTGCGTATCCGTGATGATCCGAGTGGAAACCGCACCGCCCCCGAGATTGTCGAAGAAGGCAATGTTTTGGCGCAACACACCCTGCAGGTATGCCTCGCGAATGCGATGCGAGATGTTTTCGCCCGTGTACAGCCATGTCGCCATGTAGCAATATGTGCACACAAACATGGCCAGGCCAAGATAAACAAAGTTGAGCGAGTTGCTATTCACCTATTGGAAAGAAAAAGTGGGACATTTAGCTTTCGCGCCAATAGAGACAGCGCGCGATGCGCGATTTCCCGGTCGTTGAGGTCTCCCCTTACCTGACTTTGCAGCTCATCCGAGACGTCAGATGTCATAGGAAGATGCTGTGCCGCGGCGGTTCCGATAGCGGTAAACGTATTTGTGAGTTTACCGAAAAAGATCGTCATCAGCGGCAAGACGGCACCAGCGGCGCTCGCAAAAACCAGACCGAAAATCATCAGAAAATTTTCAAACGGCGTAGAGTATCGAGTGAGCAATGTACGATAGCTGACTCGATTCGCGGACTTTTTTGGGGCGCCACCACCAGGCGGTGCCGAGGACGGCGCGGCGACAGCCTGTGCGGTTGTGGCAGGGTCATGCACATCGACAAATGCAAAGGTCTCCACGACGTCGGCGCCAGCGGCATTTTCTTTGACCTCGGTTGATGCGGCAGCGTTTTGCGGCTGGCCGGATTGTTGTTGGCCTGGATTAGCTGGTTGCGGAACTTCGGCGGCGGCGGCATTGGCGGCCGATGGCGGCTTGCCCAGTTGTGACATTTCGACGTTTGGCGACGACATAGCTGGCAGTGACCAAGACGACGACTAAGCGTGTGCGAATCAGAAAGGTCGATGACTGAATGCGGGACGAGGGGATGGGGGTCTGTCCCTTTTTAAGCTGAGATGCAGCTTTCTAAGATTTTTTCTATGTATGTATATGTACGGCAGCGTCGCTGAACGGCTATATAGATTTGTGCACGCAACTCCGACTCAGCGACAATTCCCGCGGAACAACTCGTCACTCGTTCGCCGCGGAATACTTGCAAAAATAAAAAATGACTCATGTGCAAAAACAGATGCTGTTTTCACCTTGAATGCTTCCGCCGGGAATTGAACCCGGGACTTTCGCTTGGAAGGCGAAAATTAAACCACTTAACTACAGAAGCGCTTGTTGTGAGAGCATTCTGCAAAACAAACTTATATGCTACCATTTAGCGCAGCCGCCGAGCGTTTTTCGGCAGGTGCCCTGCAGATGCCTGTATAGCATTGCGGCATGCATTGCCAGCTAGCTTAATGAAACATTTTTATTATTATCTCTTGCATTATTATATATTCGACACAGCCCGAGCTCAGCGAAAGACTGGGAGCCAGTACTAACGACCTGAGCCTTTGCGCAATCTTGGGCGAGGGCAGCGGGAGATTGGTGAAGCAATGAGCATAAGCGCAGCCGGAGGCCATCACGGCGGATGTGCGTCAGAAGCGGATAACTTAACAAGTAGCCTGTTTTGGCTGTCAAGCACGTTCTGGCTGTCTGACACTCGCTGACAGAGTTCTTGACAGGGTATCGCAGCGAGCACGTCGACTTTGACGGTGGCGGTTATGTGGGGGTTTACGTTTGGTTGTTTTCGAGCAAATGTTCGTAAATCCTCTCAAATAGCAGGCGGAAAAGCGTCTGTTGTGACTCTAATCACACTCTGATATGTTTAAAAAACCGGGACGAGAAAAGTATGGGTCCATACACTCGCAGGCACGAGCGGAAGGAGGTGAGTCTCCGACGTCGTATTCCGAACTCCTCTCATTGGCGTTATCGTACTCGACGTCGTCTTCTGACGACCTACTCATGCTGTAGCGGTGAGAGTTTGCGGTTGTTGTTGTTGCACTGCGACAGCCGAAGAGGATGGATGGCTGCGATCGAGAGGCTGCTCAAGGCCGCCGCTTTCGGGGCTGCGAAGACTCCTACAAGCAGGAACATCCAGCAAAGACAGGGAAACGATAAGGGGAACACTCCGTTTAAGGGCGGCGGCGGTGGGTATGTCAGTGGGAAACCGTTCAGGAGTGTTTGACACATGAGACTCCGGCTTGAGAGGCGTGGCTATTTCTTGCCGAGCTCAGCGATCTCTGAGAGGGGAAGATCCGCCCATCCGGCGAACAAAAAGAAACCGGCTGCGAGATCGCTGGGCTCGACAGCCCTCTGTCAGCGCCGCACTGGATAACAGTCCATAGTAGATTGGGCACGGAGAGAATCTGTGTGCAAGGACGCGTCACATGACCGACAGCCGTGTCATTTAATGGCCCTGCGTCTTCCTTGCCTTCACGTGGTTTTTAATTCTTTGGATTTTCTTTAGCCCAACCCGCAATCTATCAAATACCCCTTGTACACAGTCATAAACCGCGCAACAAACGCCTCGAGATGGAATATCGCCTTGTTACCCAGTCGTAGGCGGTGCTCGTACTGCGCAGCGGCCTGCAGCACCGACCGCTTGATGCCGAGCCCGTCATTGTCCTCCAGGTGGCGCACCAGCTCGAGGGCCAGGCGTTTGATCACTACGTCGGCAGGGATGCAGTGCGACAGGAGCTCGTAGAGCGCGCCGCGGACTGCGAGTAGTCTGAAAGACGAAGTACGGAAAAATGAACAGATGTGGTCAGCATCGAGTCTTCCTGTTGGTCGTAAACGCCTTTCAGTATACATACCGGGCGGGGCTTTGCTCGCTTATGATAGACTGTGCAATCTCGTCAATGACCAGCTCCCAGTCGCTCTTGAATATCTTTTGATCGTTTGTAAAAGGGTATCTGAGAGAAAAAAAAGAGGCGGTCGGCTCACGATGACACGCATAAGAAACCCCCCAATGCGCTGCAGAACGCACTGTTGTATTCGCGATGCCTCCAGCATTAGTATTGCTTTCCGGAGGTTGCCGTCGGCGGCGGTTGCGAGCCGCGTTGCAAACTCGTCTGGGATCTGAAGACCTTCCTTCTTGCACACTTTTAGGATGACTGACCGGATCTAGAAAGAAACAACGGGAGGGGCAAGCACTTAGTGTGAGACGACCGCTGTATTCCTCTTTTGTGCCCTCTGCTTCGCTCCCCACATACCTCTGGCACATCGGGCGCGGCGACGCGCACAAGCAGACACCGACTGCGTATCGGCGCAATGATTTTGGCAGTAGACTCGGCACACAGCACGATGCGCAAAGAAGACATGTATTTCTCCATCGTGCGACGCAGGGCAGACTGGGCATCGCGCGAGAGGCCATCGGCTTCGTTCAACACGACGATTTTGAAGGCGCGGCGGGCGTTGCTGTCGACTTGATGCGTCTGAGCGATTTCCTTGATGAGGTCGGTTACGATTAGGCGATCGTGGACTCCAACGTCGCTAATAGGGGACAGCCGTGGGTTAAGTGCGTGTTGCCCAGCGTTGACAAGGGCCGCGAACCGCATACCCAGGTGTCATTTCCATGTGGTAGTTGCTAGTGACGACGCTGATTTCCTTTTTGGTATTTGACGGGGTGGAGAACTGGCGAACATCGATGCGGAGCTTTTATGATTGAGAAAGGCATTGAGAATGTCAAAAATCATGGGCCTTGCTGACAGCTTGCTGCGACGCCATGCGACGCCAACCTTTTCGACACCTGGGCCGTAAATCTCTCGGAGGAGAGCAACGATGCGAGTCTTTTTGCCAGCGCCAGATGGTCCATAGACGAGAAGGTGAGGAAAGTCTGCGTTGGCCGCCTGAGAAAACGAAAGACGTGTTGGTCAGTCGTCAGCGTGAAAAAGACTCCGGGAAGTGACAAGCGCCATGAGGGACAATAGCGTACGAGCGTTGTGAGCTGACGGGATAGAGCGGGCAGATGGTCGAGGGCGTCGAGTTGCCGTGGCCTGTGTTTGTCGACCCAGAGGACCATGGCTGTTTAATGGCGGAAAGAGGAGAGCGAGCGAGAGTGCGGAATTGTCCGACCTTCTGCAATGTCCGAACGCTTCAGGTACCGGTACCGACAGCTGGACGTGCCCCGGCGCCACTTAAATAACGACCAAATGCAAGAAATATGTATAGATGGCAACTACAACCCAATTAAAAGAAACGCCTTTCAGAGTAGCCGGCTCCCTCATGTCGTAAACTGACTCGCAATAAACGCAACCAAAGCGAGAATCACACACATCATAACACAATTCACCATGAAGCGGTCACCTTTCATCATCTGGGAATGAAAAGGAACAATACAGGGTGTTAGCGTCGATTCAAGCTCAACCATAGAGCGGGCGTTTTTGGCATACCCCGTCGACTGCTTTTCGCATCTTGACGTTGAGATTGTCAACGCGGTCTAGCGCCGAATCTACGCCCTTTTCGATATCGTCTAGCACGTCGTTTTGCCGATCTAGTTCCTAAACAATCGTCCGGCATCAGCCACTCGAACGCTTCGTCTCATAATCTGCGTCTGCGCCTCGCTGCTCGTACATTTCCCATATCATTAGCAAGGTCCTTTAACCGCGCAACACCCGCGCCGATCTGGTCCAGGTCATTGTCGATCAGCTTATTGCGCTCGCCGATCCGCTTGAAGTCTTCCTCAACATCAATGTCCGGGAGCTCGGAATGCGTGAATGGGTCTGGTGGTGGCGCTTCTTCGTCGGCCGCCGCGCCCTTTTTGCCCTTTTTTCCTTTCGCGCCGCCCGCTGTAAAGTGGGGGCATAGTTTATCAGGACAAGCCAGAGGCACCAGTGATATGGTGCAGAAGCCGTCTTCCTTTCCGCTTCCTACCGGTGCGAGAACCTCCAGAAAGCAGCTCGGTCCGTTCAGCGACAAACGCATCGTTAAACTTTCTCTTTTCCAAATTCTCACACTCCTCAATATGCTTCTGACACAACTCAAGGATCTCTTTTCGCTGCGCCAGATGTGCCACGCCTTCTGGGTCCTTTTTCTTTTTCCTCTCTTCCTTTGCAACCAGTTCCGCCAGCCGCGCGCTCTGCTCTTTTAACGCGCGGATCGCCACTCGAATACGATAGCTCTTTTCAGCGGATTCCGTTGTCGTGCCCCCGAGCGACATCATTTCCTCGCGCTCTTTGAGATCTTGGCGGATGGTCTTGACGTCAAGGTGGAGCTTTTTGCGGATGCGGGTGAACTCGTCAATTTTTTTGCCTCCGTCCTCCTCGGCGACAGGCTCAGGCGCACAGGCTTCGTAGACGACTTGAAGCCGCCGCATGGCGTCGCGCATAGAAGACATGGTTGACGACGGCTAGTAGAGAGATGGGTGATGGGGTGGGTGCTTTGAGAGGAAAGCGAGAAGCAAAGGCTGCGTAGCTGGGGCAAGGGCGACGAGAGCTGCGAAAAAAGAAACGACAAGCGGAACTCCTGCTTACGCGACGCGTTTTTCGACAGCTCGCCAAAAAAATCTATGTTTTTCAATTGTTCTACCAGCAGAAACCCTCGTTTTCTACGCAACGTCCTTGTCCAATTCCACCATATTTCCCTTTACCCCGATATGGTCATACGTGTCTGGCATCTTCTCCAATGACGCGCCCGTCTGCGTCTCATGCACCGCAACCGTCGTAGCTCGCGTCATCTGCGCCCTGACCCAATCCGCCCAACCTTTCTTGACAGATCCCCAAAACGCCGCCCAGTATGTGTCTCGATACAGTAGCAGCAGCTGCAGCGCGCGCATTGCGAGCCAAATAACACCCAGCGCAAGCATGCCTTCCCGCGGAGAGATGCAGTCCGCACGGGCTTCCTCTGCAACCACGTCGCCCATACTCGCTTGGCAGTAGCCGGCGTTCTCGAGCAGACATTCGCCGGCATGGGCGGCGTTGGCACGGACGAGTGGCGAAAGGGCCCAATATGTCGGGTTTAAATACTGCGCCCATGCAATCCAGTCATAAACCGTGGCATCGCCTTTTTTGATCCACACGCCGCTGACGATTGCAAGCACTGCTTGCGAAAAGAATGCAACGCTGCGTGCCTCCGGTCGTCCCAATCTCGTGCAGTATACGAGTGTAAAGAGCGTGGTGGTGCAATTGTAGTAGGCGACAAATAGCGACATGGCGGTGCCAATGCGGTACGGGTCTGGATTGCAGCCGAGAATGAAGTAAGCCGAAGTAACGGCAATGAATCCTTCGACCGTTGCATTGGCGGTCTCATACACAACGCGATGGAGAAAGAAAGCCAGTGCGGTAACGGTGC